CGAGTGTTGCTTCGCCCACATTTGAGCGCAAACCCCATTATTGTGTCGAGGAATCCTTTCAGAGCATATTCTAATTGTTTAATCCTAAAGCTCACATTACCGCTACCATGACTCAGCCTCCTCATTGTCTTCCTCCGCGGCATTCACTGGGATCGCTGAAACGATGTCGGTCAGGTCATTTTGCCCATCTTTCCCCGCTCTACACACACCTCCAAAGCTCCGGTCCAAACATTTCACGCATTGACCGGAAAACGTCCGGTGCCGGGCATCTTGGTACCGGTAGTTTTTGGTGAGGCTGTGGGCCCTCTGGGGGCGTTGCAAAAACGCTTTTGTCTCCACAGCAAAGACTCAATTACCCACCAGACTTTGCGGGACCTACAATGGGGAGGGGAGCGGGAGCGTGATGGTCAGAGAAGCTTACGAGCAATAGTCTATAATGAGCAGTATATTAACAAACAAACGTTGTTGTTATGCTTTATCAGAAGTGAAATCACACATGCAGCATCTTGCACCTTGAGAGGATGATTAACATTACGCACAGACAGAAATCACAACAGTAGGCCACATCTAACTGTTTCTGATTATTCACCACCTACCGACTACACGACAGACTGTACTATGTTACAAAGGCCAATAATGTTAGTAATAATCACAGACTGTATATACCAGTAGACCTATGGACAGTTGGAGTATGGCGGGGGACATAGGCCATCTTGTGGACAAGTGTGCAAATTACACCATTCCACAATGAAAAAGGCAAACCAAACCTGCAGGATATTGCTGATTCCTGTTTCAGTAGTCCCACAAAATCTTGATTGCAAATTTATAATTGTGAGATAAAAGGTTATAAGCGTGATAAGCCATAAATTGTAGGGAAAAAGCACTTAAAGATAATACACAACAGAAAGATAAAATAAACAAATCCCCAGTTCCCTCAGTACGACCTCTCACTAGATGGTGACCTGGAATGCTGAAATCTACTCAGACCAGATAAGAGAGGTAATTTGGGTGTTGGCTGGAATTAACTGTTATCTTATTCTAATTTCATATTTGTTTGATAATCATTTATCATAAGTTCAATCACAGAACCGACCAATGAACTTTGTTACATTCATGAAACTAATTGTATCTGCTGTGCTGTTTTAATGCCAACACATTACTGAGAAAATATTAATATTAAATGGTAGGCCCACAATGATACGTTTTTACATTGGGCCAGGTAAGTAAGAGAGAATTATCAAAAACTGTACATTAATATGAATGTATTAGTGTAAGTATAAGTATAGTATAAGTATTAAAGTAAAGGTGCATGTAACTTTCAATTATTCATTCACAATTTAACATTCCAGGCAATACAATAACATTTCCATTGCAAACCCCCAGCTGGAAAGCGACATAGTGCATGTTTAAGTAAAAGGTTTATTTAAACAAGTCTTTGAATAATACTGGAGCCAGTCACTGATGGAAACAAACATGTGACCCGTAGTGCAGCTCAGTGGGGCCTGTTTGCGTGGGGCCTAAGTTGGCTAGATGTTGACGTGAGGCTCAGGCAGCTGTTAAAGCTCTGTGAAGTTACACTGTGAGCCATGGCTGTAGAATCATTGCAATGCACAGCAAAGGTTTCCACACTGCTTTAAGGGCTGTCGTTTATGTTTTTAGAGCAGAACCAGTTTACTTTACATAATGCTGCATACAGGCTGGTAGTAAATCCACAGCTGCTGTTTTGTGTGTGTAAGGCGCTGAGCTATTGCTACACTGCACATTCTTGGTGAACATTTGATGGCCAGCTGCACCAGGATCCTCAGATTCCAGTGATTGGTTCATTGACTTGCCTAAATGTGTGGGAATTTTGGATTTGTATAGAATAGAATTAGGTCATTGATAAAATACTGATTAAAATAAATGAGAGAATGAGAATATTCGACTAGAGGTGGATAAAACATGATTTACCATTACATAATTTCTATTTTATCATCATTCGTGTACTTTCAGTATTTTCCCATTAGCCCATTCAGACCTTCATTCCTTGCAGCAATAATTCATGACCTGCCTGCATGAAGCATTTCATCATAAAATTAGATAATTAACTCTGTCATCATCCAGATGTTATGATAGTCTGATATGCCCATCCCAGGTCAACAATGGCCTCACATTTAGCTTTTGCTTCTTCACATTTCATGGACCTTTTTGATTGATTTAACCATTTGTTCATTGTCAGACATACTTGTCTTCACAACCAAAAAGATTCACGAACATTTGATTTTAATATCACAAGACCACCTTTTCACTGGAGCTGACTATAGACTTGCTGCTATCACTGAATGCATGTTGTTTCACTTTAAGACTACAAACTCAGAGCTTTATTTAGTTTAAAGAAAAGATGCCAATTGGACCATAGGGGGATCCAACAAAAATACCAGAATCAGCACCAGATGTTGCTTCTCCTACACAACTTTAGCCTGGATCCAAAACCCTGGCTCAGGTTTCCCACCATTATTGGCATGCTTCACAAACACAACTTTTGCTCAATATATCAAGCAAAATTAATGAACTGAAAAGAAATTACTTTTGGTTCTGTACAAAAGCAGCTCCTTCATAACATTTTCTACAACATGCAACATACCAATATTAGTGAAAGCAATGGCATGCACTTCATAGTATTAATTTATTTACCCTGTTGTATATATTCACCTGTTACATTCTTTCAACTTGTTTACAATTGTATATATATATTTTTTTATTTTGAACAAAACGTAGATGATTTTCAGATGTAACACAAGTTGAGAAGAGTGTTTATGTATTATTTTGACAGTTTGTAATTTACATGTTTAGTATTATTCAGTAGTGTTTGGGTGAGGGTTAATGTTATGGTGACTAAAACACTTAGAGGGCACAAGATAAAAAGTGTTAGACTGTCTGTGGGTAGCTCTGAGTCAGAACATGTAGAGTTCCAGCACCATGGACAGAGCCTGCTACTGCTGGCCTCATTGCAAACTCACCCCACATTGGTTAAAAATTAGCCATAATGTTTGTGGATATCATAAAGCCTTATCATAGTATGGTTTACTTCAGCACTACATCATGACATTTGGAGTCCCTTGGCAAAATGACAAAGGAGTTATACATTCTGTGTTGAATAAGCTCTACAATGACTACGGGAATTTCAAGGCACTGACCCGAAAATGAATGACCAACATTTCAATTTTCATTTGTGTGTTTTTGTTGGTCAGAAATACTTGCACTGTCTTTACTGTGAGTGAGGTCTCTTCTTCATATATCTGATCTAGGATTCCCATCTCCATTTATATTCATGGAGATGGGAGTGTCCGCAGGTTGCACCTTTAAAATAAACAATAATCATGCATCTAGATAAACATAAACAATTTAAGTGTAATCTTTTAATTATATGTATTATATCTTTGTTGTTTTTAATATATATTTTAATATTTAATATTTACCTTGTTTTGGTGCTAGGGGGATTGGGGTTATATGTTAAATTCATATATTATGTTACATTAATTATGTTAAATGTTTAGATGAGGTAATAGAAGTGTGGTCAGTTACACACAGAGCCATAACACAGAACCAAAAAAAAAACCAAAAAAAAAAAAACACTGACATGTTCATTTGGGATTTGAGTGTCAGATTTGCCCAGACCTGTTTTAAAGTCTCGCCTGCAGGGACAGTAAATGCAGTGGGGGTTTAGCAGGGATCACTAGATTAAGTTATAGATAAATCATGAACAGGATTAAGTAACAGACCTAATATTTACCATTGGTCTAAATGGAGATCAAACTTTGAGAAAAAGGTTAAAAGTGGATTTTTTGGAATGCTTTCTTTGTCCACATGTGGTGTCCTATATTGCCCTAAACACGGACGGTATGTTCTGGGCTGACACTCATCTAGAGCACGGGGTGTCGGGGCCGTGCGCACCTCTCTTTCAACTGCGGCCCAGAGCAAAGTTACAAAACAGTGCATTCCTTCCACCGAGGACAGATCCTTATCATAACACAAGCTGCACGGCCTCTGAATAGCAGGTGAGCCTATTATTGAATTGAGCCTTGAATTCCAGGACCATTCATCCATCTCAGGCCTCCTTTTGAACCGACTAATGTTTGTGCTGGCCAAATCACACATGCGCCGCCACAGAGCGTTTTAACAGTGACTCAACACTTTTCAAAGCAAACAGTAAAAGACATCAATTGCTAAAAAGAGCTTGGAAAAACAACATGAGGGGCACTTTGTGTGTGTGTGTGCGTTATACTGTACAAGGAAAGGGTGGTTTGTGGGTTCAGTCCTCAGACCTACTTCGGTCTGCTTAAGAGTGCATTTTTTGCAAAGTTACATGTGCATTGTTTGCAGTGCTTACTTTGTTTAAATAGGTGTATATCGTTTACAGTATAACTTAGTGAATTACCATAATTAACTGATTATCATTGCCACTGTCCAAAGTAGAGATAAAGAGTAAACATAAAAGTGTGAAAGAATGTTAATTGGACTTTTTACCAGCCCATAAATTCCCAGCATAGGTCAATATTTTTTTTCAGCTAACCAGCTGCATAAAGAATACACACAATTTATTTTAATACTTCAGTACTGACAGGCCCTGCAAAAATCGTCCCCACACATCAGCTTAAAAATATCGTTAGAGTTTATCAGGCATTGGTTTCTCAGTAGTCTAAACAATCGGCATCGGTTTCAGCCATGGAAAAACCCATAGGTCAGTCTCTAGTCCAGAGCACTGCACCAATGCCCACAGCCCTGTGATAGTCTCCTGCTCCTGACTGATTTGTGAAGAAGCAAAAGTCAAATGAAAACAACAGGATTAAGCAAAGCCAATCCAGTAGGGCATTTATTTTAAGCAACAGAATTATGGCAAAATGTAAAAATGTTATTCAACATAAATATATAAATATTGCAACATAAAAAATCTGAACCTAAAGAACCTAGTGAGAATATTAAAATATATATACAAAATGTACAGTTGTTATTGCCCTTTTTCCATTTTTAGTTTGGATTGTGACATGCAATCCTAGAAATCCTTTTTCTTCACCTCCTATGGCAGGGGTGTCAAACTCATTTTGGTCCGGGGGCCGTATCCAACCTACTTTGATCCCAAAGGGGCCGGATCAGAAAACTCATGTCATATAAACCCCAAAAATAACAATAAGTTCAAATATTTGTGTAGAGAAACGCAAATCTATTACAGAAATCTTTTTTAATTGATGAAATCTTTCTTATTATAATATTATAATATTATGAACCTGAAACCTGAAGAAAAATTCAATTTCAACACAATGTTTTAACAATAACTTGTATGCAAACAGGAATAAGTAAATTTTTCTTGAAAAATCCTGCACTCGGCTCCACTTTTCTCATGTTGGACATTTTTCTGATGAGGGTGTCACGGTCAACAGTCAAAACGATCGTCCTTTAAGAGCGTTTGGAAAGAGAGAAGTCTTCATTTGTGCTGCTCTGGTGGGAAGGGCCACGTACAGAGACACTGGAGACACTGCTATGCTAAGCTCCGCAGAAAATTACCAATATTTTAATAGAAAATATAATAAAAATATTTTAGTAGAAAATCACCCAAGGGCCACATTAAAGGTCTTGGAGGGCCGGATCTGGCCCCTGGGCCTTATGTTTGACACCTGTGTCCTATGGAGTATCTATCTTGGTACTGTGGCACTGAAGTCCCTGTACCACAGTGGTCCATCATCGCACTGGGTCACTGGTCATCCGCACGCTTCCCATGATGCATCTGGAGACCTGTGTTTCCGCCTCATAATCTTGGGTTTGGGACACCGTCTTGAGGCTTTGGCCATTTTCCTTTCGACACAACCTTTGATTTTGTCCCATGAGGTAAAGGACTGAAATACTCTCACTTCCTCTCTGTTATCCAAACTTTCACTGAGCTACAGGTGTACTGTCTTGTCCTCCTGGTGCATTCTGGGAAATTAAGGATCTCTTCATCATGATTTTTAAAAAGCTGAGTATGTCCTTAACAGTCTTCTTTGGTGTCATTGCTTGGGTTGGCACTTCAAAACTGCAAAAACACATGGATATGATTGATCATATTTCAAGTGCAATGCATACAAACAGTATTTTTCTGAAAGTGTGATGAATCATATTTTACGTAAAGTTTAACAGGTCAGTCTAGTCTTTGCATGCTAATGTAATATATCAATCGTCAGTCAGTCTTTTCACGGTATCTAGGGTACATTATTTGCTTGTTCATGAGTGCACCGTTGTAGCTTAGATCTAATTGATTTTTTCCACCCTCCCACTCAGTCGATACTGTTTGGTTGTCCTGATAAAACAACACCCTACTCCCTGAGTCCCTAATAATAAAAGGAGATGCACCACTCCTACTGATGAACAAAGGACCAGTGTATGCCTTTGCAAACACTACTATGACTGAGTTTGGAAAATTTGTTATTTATAAACTCTTGTAGAAATGTGAATTTAAGATGAAACTCACCGGTGCTGGCAGAAGCTGAAGCAGGTGTGATCATTTGCGTTGGCACAGTAGCAGCGGGTGGTGGACCTCCGGCGACGGGACGGTCCAATGCCCAGGCCATAAACACTGGTCTTACTAAGCACGGGAACAGGAGATAGGCACACAGTCAGACTTTGGTCTTTGATATGGTACATTGTATTTCACTGCAATAAAAGTGGACAGGAAGCAATGCAATGGAATATTATGCAATATATTTGTGTCTGACACAAATACATTTAGAAATGACTACAAATGCTTTCACAAAGACTACTGCTGCTTTTAGTCAGATTACTGCAACTGGTCACTAATAACTGTACTAATATGAGACAACCATTATAATTATTACTATTTATCAATCTAACTATTACCCATTTTACTGTTTAGACCTAAAAACATAGTTTGACAGATGATGAGTTTTTAAAATTATGCATGCATTGCAATACTGTTACTATCACATCTGTGGGCCTTTGACTTAGTTTTCTCATCCTTTTGTGGTGTGGTAAGCTTACAACTACACATTTATCTTGATTTATTTTTCTTATTTTAATTTAAAATCAAAATAAATACTTCCTAATTTAAACACATATTAAATTATTTTATTTATGACTTTTCCAGTGTACCTTGGCGTGTTGACCCAGATGATGTCTAGGTGACAGAAATAGTGGCACTCTGAGTCCAGGAGGCTGCTGCAGGCACAGCGTTTGCTCCTCACCCCAGGAGAAGACGGAGCACCGCCTGTGTCCTCTGTCTGCTCCTTCATCACAGGAAGACCAAGACCTGAGAGAGACCAAGGGTGCACTTTAGTCAAACTGTAAGGAGGAGTTATCAGTCCAGATAATGGAACATTATTGAACCATAAAATACAATTGTTTTAATGTCCAGCATAATAATGATTTATCAGTGGTATTTTATAATAGTAATTATTAAAAAACAAAATGTATAAAACAGATGAATACAAATGGTACATGTGTTGATAACTCACCCTCCTGCAGTGAGGCCCACAGACTAAATAGAAGCAGAATGTTGGCGTGTGGAGACATATTGGGGCAGATAATATCCATTCACTTACAGCTGTTATTATTGAACTGCTGCTGTGTTTGTGTGAGCTCTGACACTTAAAGCTCCTCTCCCTCCAATAACGTCACAGCACAAGCCCCGCCTCCTGCCTTGGAGCCACATGGAGCAGGGACCCTCACTGAGACGTCCCACTTGCGACACATTCCATGGATAGCGCAGCTCCTGTGATGTGTTGTCACCTGCAGGCGGCCACTTACAGTTTGGAAGTACTTTACATGAGACAGATACGGCTTAGAGCATTGTAATGGGGACAGAACAATGCACTGAAATAAGAAATATTAAACAAGGTAGTATTGTAATAGTTGTAATAGTTTACACAAAGTTAGAAACTTACTGAATTAACTGTTGATGCATGGTTTAACTGCATGATATGAGTCTGTCTTGACAGCCATAAAAGCCAAAGAGAAAAAAAATGCTCCAGCAGTTATTAGAAATTTGGATAAAGATGTTTTGCAAGAATGGAACAATTATTGTACTAATTGTTTAAAGTATATTGCTGATATATTTCTTTATTATTTTAATGTAGTCCAATTTAAAAGCACATAAGGTCTTGTCTGTATTCCTGTTTCTACAATGATTCAGTACATTCTGGTCTTAATTATTAAGTTGTAATTGTATTAATATCTTTGGCTGTTTCTTGTAGTGCATTTTTTTTAAAAACACAATTTATTCTATTTACATTTCTTTGAAATGTGACCATAGAAACTGGACATTCACATTGTCGTCAAGAGAAACAGCTGCAGATAACATCTCAATTTACAGTAAATAATTAGTCATTAGTCATTACTTGATAGCGCACTAGTTGTTGGGGCCTCTAATGCCATAAAATGAAATACAGAGTAGAAACAGAGGCCCCCGGTCCAGATGGACTGTGAGGAATGTCGATCTGTCTGATGCACACATCAGTCTATCTCCTAAGTTTTTAGCACACTTCCCTGGAGCACTTTTGCCCCCTGCGCTGGAGCGCTTTCTAGGAAAACTGGGCACCGAATTGAACCAGGACTCTGCATTTTTTTGGCAGCATTGGAACAAATGTGGAATTATTATCGTCCAAACTGGAATATTCCAGGCGAAGCAATAAAGTCTCCACAGAGACAAGCAGGTGGCGTACCTCCACCAGAAAAGTTATATAGTGCACCTTTAACACAGTTAACAGTTAAACAGTCTTTCAGGATACATCAGCTAGCTATTATTTAAAACAGATGATTTTGTAACATGGAATTTTGCCAAGTCATAATGTCAGTCCCTTCAATCTAAGCTTTATGTAACATAAATTTGTATAAGCTGTTTTATGGCATTTTCACTGCATATAAAACACTGCAGGAACCTCTGAGATGAGCTGATAAGATGAGGGCTGACCTCAAATCACAGAGAACAAATTAAGCCTTTTCTCATGGGGTCAGGGGTCAAACACCTGTACTTTTCATAACCTGTTTTTACTGGTCACTGTCATCTGACAAAGTACAGACCTGTCATCAAGTGAACATTATTCATTAGTGTAGTAGATCTAACTTAAATATGGGTCACATTTTTTTCTACACTTTGGTGAATGATCAGAACTTTTATTCACACTACACTAGTTGTGTAGTGTGAAATTACATTGTAGTTACGTGGCTACATGTTTGCCTGGCACAGTGACAGCTCTCTTTATTTCTTAGTATTGAGGAAGTGTGTATTCTGGATCCCAGGCAAGTTACATGTTATTACACACTTAAGTAAGATTATTGGTTCAAATTTAGCAAAATTAGGTGTTACAAAAATATATTTGTATTATATTTAAATTATATTTTTATGTTGCAGTATAATCCTGGTTATAATTCTTTCCTTTTAGGTTCTGAAAAGCATTGACAATCTTAAACAATCATGCTGATAGCATGCATAGTATGTATAGGAATAAGAGGCAACAAAATGTGGGAACAATGTAATGTTACTGAAGTTAATCATTGAATGCATCTGTGATAAATATTGCCAGCCCTATTTTCTCCTCATCATTTGTGCCATTAGATTGATTTATAACTTTAGACCAGTTTTAGCTTCATAATCAGGGTCAGTAATTACAATTTATTACGTATAAATCAGATAATATGACATAAGAAAATATGACCTCCTCTTGATTTTAAATGATATGCTATTTAGTATGTCATGATATCACAAGAAAGCACCTGATGAGGAAAGCAAAATAATGTCACAGTCCCATTTGTGTGTAGTGCATTTTTATTCTTTGAATGTAATTATAAATTCTGCTGCGTGTGAAATTAGCAGGGCACTTGTTCCCTCTGTACCTTCCCTCATTTTTGTAACCACTTCAAGTCACAAGAACATGATGAAAAACACACAAATGTAACAAAAAGTACTTTGTCAAAAACTAAAAGTAAAAAAGTTGAAATAATGCACATTTCATCTTTAAACATCAATAAATAAGAAGCATTCAAGGCTGTACAAAGATATTTTCTGATCTCAAATGTCATAATAAAAAAATAACTTCAGTGCATTTCCTTTGACATGTTTCCGCTGCTCCATGTAGATACCCTGGCATTAAAGCATTGGCAAGAAACGCAATTAGAACCTTCACAAAAAATAAAAGGTGATAGAAAAGTTCACAGCCTCCTTTATGTCATCTGTACTGACATGTCAATACATACACCTGGACAGAAAAGGCACAAGAAACTACAACTGGAGTAATACTGTAATAACCAAACAAATGGAATTATTAAGAATAAAGTTTTTGGTCATTTACAAACATAGTCAATTTTTAAAAACATATTTAAACAGACAGTATCCGTACAGGAGGGATATATTTATATATAATTTATATATGCATTTACATAAACTTTTTCACAAATAAAAAGTGCTGTTTGACCACAAACCTGAATATTGCCAAAGAAACATTAAATTAAAAAAGCATTTCAATGGTAAAAAAAACAAAAAAACAAATCAAAGCAAAAATAAAAGAGTGGAGCAATCGATAAAGCTAATGAAGGTGACACATGGAGGTGCTGACACTTAAGTGCTCTGGTCTGACTGCGCCGCTCTCTCCTCCACATCGCCCCCTGGTGGTGGCTGCTCCCTGTGCCCCCTGGAACATTCGGCTACAGACACGGCTGGGCTGAGGGCTGGTCCCGGGCAAGTGTCCCTCACAGGGGTCCCATCAGAGCCCCCGGGTGTTTGGACAGAGCTGTGCGAGCTGCTATATTGCTTTGAGTCTGTCTCTGGTTTGTGTTTATGTAGTTGTGTCCTGTCTCCGTGGGGCTGGCTGGTTCCTGTTTGCTCTGACACTAAAGACTGGTCCAGAGGAGTCCTGAGGCCTTGAGTCCTGGGGGTCCCGCCCCAGTATGCTGAGTCAAAGCTGAGGCGAGAGGACCCCTCTATGGGGGGGGAGGTCGGGGAGGAGGGCGTGGTCGGGTGGGATCTTGGACGGGCCTGCACCATCTGTATTCCTCCAATAGGGATCATGACACAGGGCAGCCGCGCCTGCTGCGAGTGCAGAGGAAGGTGACTGAAAATGTTGTCTACAGGCTGTGCACCAGGATAACTCTCACACATGGAAAGACGAAAGGCGGATGGAAATAAACTGCTTTCTGGAAACATTAGTCCTTCCAATGTTGTTCCACTTTTTTCCTGCAGATGGTGCAAAAATATAATTAAAATTTTAGATAGAAACCACAGAATACCGAAGAGATACTTAGAAGTCTCACAAAATGAATTGGTAGCACCAGTAAAATGTATTCAAAGAGTTTCTTTGATTCATAGGTTATCTCACTCACCTCTTTGCTGTTAGCCCCTCTAATAGCAGGACTTTCCCAGGGCAATAATGCAGGAGTCCTCCGGTGCAGACCCAGTGGAGAGGGTGGGGCTCGGGCTTGGGGTGAGCGATAGAAGCCTGGTGAGACGGGCCGCAAAGGAGAGAGGGGCCTGATGGGAGATGGTCCTCTCTCAGGGGAGGGGGACACATGTCGACTGGGGGAGGACAGTTCAGTTTTGGGGGATAGACTGAGAACCACGGGGGATAGCTCGAGTCGAGGAGAGAGGCTGCGACTTGGAGAACAGCTCTCACTGCTCGGAGAGAAGGCCCGCGCTGCTCTAATGCCCCGGCGGGAGAACAGTGCCCTCCTGCTGCAGGGAGAGGACGCACGGCCACTCCCAGACCATAAGCCCCGAGGAGAGGACTCCTGACTTAAAGCGGGGCCAGGGAGCTCACGATCTGGGGTGCCCTGGTGGGAATGCCCACTGCCTGTGGAGCGCCCCCCAGTGGAAGGATGTGTGTCAGATGAACAGGAGGAAGGTGGATCATCGTGTGTGGTGGACTCTTCATCTTCCTCCTCATCGTCGTCTTCAGACTCATCCACGTCAGAAAACTGGTGCACCTCCTGCTCCTCTGGCACAGGCTCCTCACTCCCTCCTGAAACAAAGACACATCAAAAACTTTAAAAAGGACTTAAAATACTACTACTACTACTACTAATAGTAATAATAATAGTAATAATAATAATAATAATAATAATAATAATAATAATAATGGGGCAATAAAAGAGACTCAACAGCAAACGAAGCTACTTCACAGTCGTGACTAAAATCCTCTCAATATTCTCTAAGATAGCCCTGACCCTCACTCTGTCAGATGTTATAAATAGTGCTTACATGAAAAGACTGGAAATATATTGAGCTGTGCTGTGTCTATTCATAAACTATCTCTAGCTTTGTGAATGGCAAGTCGATGGTTAAGTCCTTGGCAGTAATGACTGCAGTCCATCAGCTGCAGACAGAATAAGGTAACTGTAGCTTTGGCACACATTGAGGTTTAAAAATTGCATTGCAGAGAATCATATTTTATGAAGGTATTCATTGCAGGAGCCTTGTGACTGTTGAACTGACTGTATTCTTAATTTATTTATTGTATTTTTATCTTTACTTAAGCAAGGCCAAAGGGAGGAGAATAGAACATGGTGTTGCATAAGCTGTCAGCACTGAAAAGCTGCAGTTTTGAACAGGCACACACTCATCCAGCCACAGCAGTCTTTATCCACAACAGAATCTGTGATCCTTAGTACCTGTTTCCTCGCTCTCAGGTTCGTCCAGTGATGACTCAGACAGTCCCATGGACTGGCACTTTTTCCCATGAGCCTTTGACTTCATGTGTTTGGTGAGGTTCCCTAAGAAGGAACAAGAAAAGCACATTATCATCCCCTCAGCCCTGAGAGGCTCAGTGTCTGAACATAAATCATGGGAATACATTAGATAAATCCAGAGGGCAACAGTTACCTTTAGTTTTGAAGGCAAAGTTGCAGTGTTTGCAGACATATGGGCGTACGTCTGTGTGTGTGCGGATGTGCTTCTTCAGCATGCTGGGCTTCTTACAGCGGATCCCACACTCTCCACAAATGTACTTCCCCCGGCCTCGTCCACGTACATACACATACTCCTCGCTGGACCTATATCTGGGACACAGGTGAGAAAGTGAACACATGGCACTGGCAATATAACATCCTGAGTTTGCATGAATAAGTAAAATCAACTCTTATTGAAAATGTCATTGTTTTTATTCTTCACATAGAGACCCTTTTGACAAGGTATTTTTCATTTGCCCCATGAAATAATAATAATTATTGTGGATGCACCAGCTACTTGCCTGGTAACACACACAAGATAAACTGAGAAACAAGGTTCTCTTTATGCAGGCGGCCGGGGAAGCCCCAGCAAACCCACAGCAGCAGAATAACATCCATTCTGCTACAGCTGGCAACGCTGCCAACAACAGCAGCCACTAAGAGGGGACGGCCGGGAAGGGAAGCCTGCATGGCCAACAACCCAAAATAGACACTATATATAAAACCAAGCAACACATTTAGCCCTGGTCTATAAAAACCTTGTTGATATGCAATATTGATGTTGACCCATGGCCTATTCACAGACACAGTAAAACCACAGACAATTTATATTTGAATGAGAAAGTCCATTATGAGATGACAAATATCAGTGTATTTAAACATGGCATTTTGACTGAAAAGCCAAGAGCTAAAACCATGAATGCACTGTTGTACAACACAAGCCACAAGAGCAAATCATAACAAATTGTTACATGAGGGTAAAACAGTCTCAGCTGCGGCATTATGCAGCGCTGAAGAACTGGCGTCTGTCACACTCTGTTTGTCACTGCTAAAAATATTTCCCCCATCTCAGAAAGCACTGATTGTTTTCCCACATCAGGCATTAAATCTGCAGCACAGTGCTGAGTAAACTGGCCCTCAGCTCTTTATGGCCACTGAAGCATCTTCCAAGCAGACCTGACCGGTTGATAACGCCACTGAGAATCACAAAAGAGACTAAGCACTTAAAAACAGGGACTTAAACCTCACATGCAGAGACAATTCAGTAAGTATGTAAACAGAATCATAGAAAAAACCTATAACCTATACCTATAGCTTGTCTGTTTGTCAATTAAGCTAGACTTTTGGCTTGTTACAATGTTTACTTAAATAAACAAAAAAATTCTAATTGCTATTAGCAGATATTAACCACACAGTTCCCTGGTCCTTGCATCTATTAGTATTCAATGAATCAAAACATTTATTGATTAAACATGTACAATGTCATCATTTAAGGGAAAAGTTTAAAAATTCTTTCTCACCCGCCTTCAAAAATGCGAACACATGAGGACTCTCTGGATTTGGATGTGGTAGCTTCATCATCCCTCTTTGGTTTTGCCTTGTTCTTTTCATGTTGTGGTTGTTCCTTTATCTGACCGCTAACCACAGGGCTGACTAGGGCGGGATTTATCTGCAACTATAAAGAGAATTGTGTCAAGTTTTAACTGTGGCAGATAAATGTTAAATTCAATGACTAATGCAAAAACATAAATGTTTTATATATATTTGTCTATGCATGCTGTTACCTCTGTTTCCTGCTGGGGCTCCCTGCCTCCCTCTTTGGCCTGGCTGGCAGTGGCCATGGTGTAGGTTTCTGCACTGTGCCTCTGTTTGGTGCACAGAAGGGACAGGGCTGTCTTGGTGCTCAGGCCGGGCAGGTTGGGGTTGTGTGCACTCACGCTCCAGGAGGAATACACTGAGGTCTGAGAGTCCTGCAGTGCTGAGTGGTTGGGCTTGACGTAGTTCAGGTAGCACCAGTTGACTGAAGTGGAGGTGTGGAGACTGGGGTGAGAAGTAGAGACTGGTCTGGTGCCTTCCTTTTTCTCAGCAACTTCAGACTTTTGAGTTGAAGCTTGGCTTTGCTCCTGTTTCTTCTCCTCCTTTATAGATTTGTTTTCTGCATTTTGAGTTTGCGTTTGTTTGTTCTTTTCATCTTCAGCTTTACTCCCAGTAACCTCACCCCCTCCCACACCTCCAGCTGCATTCCCCCTGCTCCTCTCCCCTGTGCTCCCCTTCTCCCCCTCCTCTTCCTCTTTCACTCTTTTCTGGTGTCTCTGAGCCTCTGTGCTCAGCTCTAGACTGGCAGCAGGTGAAAGCATGCGTTTACTTCCTCCAGCCCCAAGTGGACCATAAGCCTCCTCATCTAGTGAAACTAAAGAAGGTGTCAGCGAAATGGGAGTTTTCATTTGGAGGGCTGGTACAGTAAGGTAAGACCTCTGAAGCTTGCTTTGCTCCAGCTGGCTCATAATGACCATAGTGGTACATATAGGCTCAGGTGAGCGTGAAGAGGCCAGGATTTGGGAGAGAGTTGTATACATGGCACTAGCATATGTTGGCATGTGAGTCTGCAATCGCACTGGGACAACTAAAGAAACAACAGGTGTCAACTGAGCCAAACATGTAGCAATAATGGGCTGTGTGTCGTGATATGGAGTTACAATGGTTGGAGAGAGTGCTATTGAACTGTTTATAGAAGATGGGGCCAAGGGAGCATAAGGCAAAGGCCTGGTGGAAAGGGGAAAATACAGGGCTTGACTGTGGCTGGAGAACTGCAGAGGAAGTAGATGGTGAAGTGGAGTCCCAAGCCGTGCACTGTCTGGATCAAAGACGGCTCTGTGGAGAACTTCAGTGTGGAACACATGACTGAGAGATGGAGCTGAGGTTTGCTGATCTCTGGGAACCAAAGAAAGCACATTTGAAGACGGCAATGGTTCTCCTGATTCTTCATGAAGAAACCATTCTTCAGTGGACAAAAGAGGGTGGTGCCTGACATGTGAGGGCCCAGGCCTGGGACTGTCTGCTCTAGTCTGCTCCTCCTCTGGATCTCCTAAAGTGGCATGTTTAACCAGAAGACATTTCCTCCGTTCTTTCCAGGAGGTGCTGGGCTGCTGAGAGGACAGAGAGCCATAGTCAAAGGACTTGCTCCTGTTTTCAGGTGTCTGCTGAGGTTGTTGGTGAGTAGGAGGCGTCTGTTCAGATGCAGAGCGTCTCATCTCCTTGTGGCTCTGGTGGTACTGATGAGAGGCTGATGGCACCATTAACATTTGGGAGCTTTGGCTGACAGCCCAGGCCACAGCTTCCGATCTGATGGGATCTTCCAGAGACATCGAGAGACTTGAGGAGAGGGAGAGGTTGCTCTCCTGACTGGGGCTGCGAGGCACAGACACAGACTCAAAGCTGGACTCTCCTGAGGACTGAGCTGCTTCAGCCAAACGCAGCCTCTTCTTTTTGGGTGGGAGCTTCTCTGCAGGGAGCTGAGCCAAAGTCTGGCTTCTCTGAGGCCACTGGAACTCCTCCACTCTCTCTGCTTCCTATGACACAAAGCAACATATACAATATTTACAATAAGTAGCACTAAAAAGTGAACATGTTGTATTCATTTGGAATGTTTTTTATTTGTTTTTTATTTATCTTCTAGATATGAGACAAACCTTAGGTAAGGACACTGTCACTGTGGGGGACACAGGTGGCATGTCGGTGTCTGGCTCCAGAGTGACGAGGATCTCGGGCACTTGGATGTTGGGCTGGCGAATGAGGCGACTGGTGGATGGGGACGGTTTGGGCTGAGGCTGTGTCTCTTTGACCTCTGATCCCTGACTCTCCATGGACACACTCTCCTGCTTCTCAAAGGAGCTGGTGTGTTGAATGACTGACACACCCTTTCTGTCCTGCTGCTGTTTTGGTTCTGAATGACCACCTACAAACATACAAAACAAAACAACAATATGTACTGTTTATTATTATGCACTGGTATATATTTCAAGAAAGATTTTACATTTACAAATCTATCAAGTATATTGGCCTCTTAAAAAAGTATAACTTTTAAAATGAATTAGACATCACATTGGTTGATTTTAATTTTTCATTATTTTTCCAAATGCTTTTGCAACAAGTTTTATATTCACCTGACTGGGAATGGCTCCGCTCCTCTCCAGATGACACTGCGGTACGGGTTGTGGGGCTGGGAGGATCTTCCTCTAGGCTCTCCTCTTTTCTCCTCTTCCTCACTGTCACTGCCAGAGCTGGTAACTTGTAGTGCATCATTACATGGGGGTGGTCGTCCCTGCCAGATTTGACCCTGTCCTCGGCCTCTAGTTCAGGCTGTTGGTGGTGTCCCGTACAGGTGCCCATGTGGGACTCATAACCCTCACTGTGCTGGAACAGGGAGCCACAGGCCTCACACTCAAACAAGCAGGGACTCTTGTGCAGCTGTTGCTTTGGTTGTCTTTTTCCGTCTGTACCTTTTCCTGAAGAAGACTGGCCTGTATCTTCAAGCACTTGTTCAGCTCCTAGAGGAACCTCAATGGCAGGTTGCCGTCTTAACATGCGCTGAACATGTCCCACTCTCATCTCTGCAGCTGCTGCCTGCTGCTCATCGAATGACTGGCAAAGACGGAAGCCACCAGGAGACAGTGGTGTAGGGGAGGAGGGGGTGTGCTCCTGGCTGGTGGAGGAGGGCAGTGAGTGACTTCGAAGCAGAGGCACAGATGAAAGAGGTTCAGGAGTACAGGCCTCAGGTCTTACCCCACTGGGACCTGGGCTTTCAGCTTTGGGGTCGAATGCATAGGGGTCTTTAGGAGTGCCAGTCTTGGGCGACTCCATGCTGCTTTTACGGGAGAGCGATGAGCGTCGTGGTTTGACACTGTCAATCTCACTGGTATCAACCACTGCCTCATTAATAGTGATGAGTTTGGTGATGTGTTCAATGACCTGTGTTTTGGGAACTGTGAAGGAAATGCTCTTCTCCTCAGTTCCAGAAGAAGAGTGAAGTTGATGCTGATGACCCCCTCTCTGTTGGCCTCCGAGTCTTCCATATTTCCCCAAAATGATTTCGGCATAAGTTTTGGCACTGGCACTTGGGGGGCTGATTTGTGACAGGTCGGTGCTCCCTGACCCAGAGAAGTAGCCAGATTCGGTGCTGCCTTTGCTGCCAGGGCCTAGAGAGGATGAGGATGTGGAGAGAGAGGAAGAGGGTGGGTCATCGGGGGAAGCCTTCGGACCTCGTTTGCGCTCACTAAGTCTAAGAGCCAGCCTCTGTTTGATGGCCTGTGAGTCCTCAGGTCTGTGGCTCTCCTCTTTCCTTGAGGGGCGTGATGGATCCTTGGGTTTTCTGTGCTGTCCGGTCTCCTCCTCAGACTCTGTACTCTCTCCTTCTGTGGGCTCCTCATGCTCCTCTCCCACATTAGCTCCCTCTGGTGTGCTGAGATTAAGCTCCTCCCGACAGGACATCAGACCGGCTTTGATGCGGTGGGCATGGGACTTGCGGTGCTTGTACAAGTTGCTCTTGGTTTTGAAGGAGAATCCACAGGGGTCACAGGGGTAGGGCCGCTCTCCTGTGTGGGAGCGGATGTGTTTCTGAAGGACGCTGGGTTTGGCACATGGTCGACCACAGTAGGAGCACACGTACTTGCCAGGTTTCTGAGGCTTCTTCTCTCCGCGTTTGGGAGAACTCAGCCTCTCTGCAGGGTCCTGGCTGGTCTGAGGTTGTACTCTGTGTCCCTGATCCCCTCGTGCTGAGGAGGTAGAGGGTAGGAAAGATGAGGGAGAGGAAGGAGAGAGGAAGCTGCCTCCAGAGGGGCCCGCTGCATCTGATGGCTGCCATGCTAACGCCTGCTGTTGTTGGAAGCGCAGGAGGAGACCTGGAGATCTGGGCGAGCGGTGCTGCAGCCGCCCCCGGGACCTGTGCGCAGGACGTGGGGCTGAGGTCTGACCGGGATCAGAGGGAAGGGAAGATTCCGTCACATGCTCCTGTCTCTCAGAGCACTCGCCCTTAGGATGTCCAGGCTCCGCCTCCATAGAGTGGGAGGGGCCTCACACACACTATGACGACCCCTTCAGTCTCATGGGGCTAACCGCATGGCAGAGAGGTCTAAGGCAGAAGTCAACATGAAGCTCCGCAAATCAGAACCAGGGACCTGTTCCACCAGTCTGAGCCCACGTTATTGGAAAGGACCAAAGGAGGCATCGTTAGGCTTCCCCTGTAGCTGCCATGAGTTGGGTAAACAAGGATCATTTTGTACAGTGCACCTCAGGCCATGCTCACAGCCCTCCCTGATCGAAGCTTTAACACTGGCTGTCTGCTGTGGTTCTTCTGGAGGCATCTGAAAAACAGACAAAAACAAACAGAAAAGATATGGTCAGGTACCAGAATAAAAACACATTTTAATTGTGGCCTCCTTAGATGTGGCATTAAACATAACTAATTTCTAAAGAGATTGGTTATGTTTAACCAATATCCTGTTTTGATGTGTAATAAAATATAAGCAGCTTCTCTGCAGTAAGTAAGAGTAATCCACAGGCAACAGGTGCTCTCCTCAAGTCAATGAATATTGCAAAGTCAGGGCAACAAGTCAGACCAAATGTTGAAATAGTTTATCTGATGGGCACCTCACAATTCAATTCAATTCCAGTTTAGTTAGCACATTTGAAACAACTTCAACTGACCAAAGTGTTTCACATAAATGTCAATAGCAATATCAAAGACAATAGCCTACAGCACAAAACTGTTCCAGGGGAGGCCTGAGGTAGGACCCTCTCATAACTGGCATTGGTTTTGAATGTATGCAGGTTGTGTAGTGTCTTGAGAGGCATTCAGGCCCATTTCACACGCAACAAAGACTTTTATAAAGATACATTTTCATATCTTCCACTTAGACACTTAGCTGGCTTTATGAGGACTCACAGTTTTGTGGATTTGAAAACTCTGAGATGACACTGCGATGAAATTTCCACCTTTTATCAAGACAGATGTAGTGTAATATCTCCCACTTACTACAAATCCTGCACTCGCTCTCAGCTCCAAATTCCTGTAGTGCAGACAATCTAAACATTTTCTGGCAAGGGATCGTGCAAATCATAACAGTTTTGACTGAGCATCCGTGTGCACACCATTGATAACCATGTACCAATACATTCAGATTATCTGATTAAGATTAGCAATGAAGAATCAGATCATGTCAGTAACCAGGAACAGTGAACATTCTTAACACTCATGCTCCATGTGATCACTACGATATTGATACCACAGCAGTGAAAAGGGCAACAAAAGTGCTTACAGACTTTGACAAAATGCTATGAGAGGATGTAGGAAACGGGAGGAAGTGTGAATTGAATAAACAGCACTAGACTGGAGCGTATAGTGGTAGCGGCACTGACAGGTTTTTAATGAGCCACACTTTTGCTCTCTCCATATGTCTATAAAAACACTGCACAGTCAGCCTTCATTAGAGCCGGTTTACAGCAGGAGGGGAAAGAAAGACCCCAGAAAGAACTCGACAGGCTCAAGGCGACTTCTCTCGTATCTGTCATAGGACTGATCGTTTGTTGACAATTTCCTCAGAAGCGCTCACTTTGATTATCGCAACACACAACGATTGAAACTATAAGCTGTGTTCAGGTTCTTCTCCTTCTACCCAAGAATTAATTTAACTAGTCTTTGATGCCTTCAGTTGCATTCATTATGGTTGTCTATATGGTTATATTATTTTAGCACAAAATACTATACTAGGGGACATGATCAGTTTCATTTGGAGCAATGAAAAAGCCATTTTCAAATTGGTGGGTTAAAAACAAATCTAGAAGTGGTGGAGTTCAGTGTGGATGGTTTTGAAATTGCAACAGAACAAAAGAATAAAAAAAAGCAGGGCAAGTAAAATTACCATTGTTATTGTTAATGTGAGCATTTTTATTGTAATATTATGAGTTTAAAAATTTTGTCCTTAACAGATATGATCAGATTAAATGTTAAACTGTGAGTTGAGTTGCCTTGCCACAGATCTGACCTGTATAGAGATAAAAATAGAGAATGAGGTTAAATGCCATACTTAGGAACATTTCAAGCAAAGCATTCTCCATAAAGACAAGCAAGTGATGGATCCTACACCAGAAAGGTTACATAGTATGCTCCTATAATTATACTGTATAAACACATATACAGTATTGCTTGTGTGTCATTGTGATCTAAACTTTTATAACTTCACTCAACTAATCTCCGCCTACAAATATTAATAACTACAAGCACATTGGGGTTTAGTATGACACAGGAGCTTTACTAATTGGAGAACTTAGGAGCTGTGATGCTGCACAAACTGCCAGGAGCAGACAGGAGCAGACAGGAGTGAAGGCAGACAGAGCATGACAAATGCTCTTCCTCGACACCTATGAAACGAATGTCTTTGTTTGTGTCGGCATGGCGATCACAGAGTGGGTTTAATTATCTCCGGTGTCACCGGTGAATCTGCCTAAAAAAGGACAATTAGCTGCTTTTTAAGAGTAGGAGGAAGTGCCTCCATTATTCATGACAGTCTAGATGACCAACTCAGGCAGAAATCCACACCGCAAGAATGTATTTCTAGAAGAGTTAAAAATACTTGAATTCAGAATATTATTTGAGTAGATTAATTTACTTCAGTGGCATTACGTTTTTTAAAAGTCAATGGGGAAAATGTACTTTACCCACTGGTGAATGTATTTTCTTTATTCAATAAACAATCTGATTGTGAAATTAAAATCAAAATCTTTGTTTGCACGATTATCAAATTGCAAAAGCTGCACATCCTGTTGTACCTGTAGTTTAGACCTCATGTTTTCTGTCAAAGGTTCAAATTCTCTTGGAGTTGTTTACAATGTGCACTCTGAACTGAATCCTACTTTTAAAACTGATATTGCAAATATATTGCAATAGTCTAATCTTAAATCAAAACTACAAATCCAGATGTATGCTCTGAATCAAAGACTTTTCAGGTCATGCTAAATAGTATGGGAATACTTTAAAACACACATATGCCTGTTTCATATATGCCAACAAGAGGCAGACAGGACTAACCAATCAGCTCCTGTGACCTGAGGTGACCCAGCATGAGCCTATCCTCCTCTGATTCGCTAGGGGTTTTCCTTGTGTCTCGCTCCACGGAAACAACTGGTTATAAATAGCAACAATCCCCACGCACGGCTGAAAAATGATATATATTGATAAGCAAGATCTTAAGACAGGAGTTATGTAAATATATATGTGCCCTGCTTAATAAGGACTGACAAGGGCGTTCCTCTCTCCAGCTATTTTTAGATGCGTGAGGTGTGAACAGGAAGCTACGGAGGCAGTTGTTAGACGGTGCACAATTCTTCGATTGGAGGTGTCACGGGGAGTTAATTTTAGCAACACCAGAAGCCAACGATCTTGAGGTTTAGAACAATAAAATCCCAGCTGCAAAACTGCTGTGTGCTGTAATGTTAGTAATGAGTGGTCCATAGAGACTTGAATGAATGGAGGATGAGAGGAAGAAGATGACGATTTGCCTCAAGAGAATTTGATACACATTTTTGAGCAACAGGGAATACTAAATTAAAAGGAAGCAGCCTCTTCTTTTTAGCTCAATTTTAAGTCGCAAGCCAGTATTGCCAGTCACTATAGAAGAAGCATTTTCACTATAGCTACCTCAGAAGAGAAGTGCCAAAATGAAAAGTAATTTATTTCAAAACAAAGGTGCTAGTCTAAACTTAATTTCTAAACTAAAAAGTTGCACTGTCTAGTTTGTATTGTATTTTCTAATCATGTTTTACTGCAGCTAATACAGGTGTGAAAAGGTGCCACATATTAAAATCCACACCTACAAAATTAACAACATTCATCATTTCCTAAAACATCCCCATAAAGAAATTTCCTCCTCTCCTCGTTCTCTTACTGGTGCATGTTCCCATGGAAACCACCAGCCTACTCAGTGCAACGGCAGATGGAGAGGGAGCTGGAGGTCTAAATTTATCTCCCAGCATCCTCTATGACTACAGACGCACAGTGGCAGCAGGAAGTGAGGAGGGAAAAGGCTTCGAGACGGCGCGCATTGACAAGCTGGCATCACCGCTGACAACCAGAGTGCTTGACTGACCGACCCATGTGGGCAATTCACGCCATTGGTCTCAAGAAGAAACCTTTCTTTCTACAACTAGTCCACTTGTATTGCGTGAGTGGAAAGTTAAAAAGATAGCTCTTGTCAATCAAAATACCAATAAGAAGAATCTATAGAGTCTGATGTCAGAATTACTGGAAACAGACATAGCCTAATTGTATTAAGTGTTAAAAAGTCTTTCTTTACTGCGTAACAGAAGAGTAAGTCACTCTGCAGTATAATGGATACGAGGGCTACACCTGAACCACAGAATACAGGCAGTTCACAGCTTGGTAAGACTTGCTTTGATAGAGAAATGCCAATGAACCACAAGTCAATAGTGGGGGCTTAAAGCGGACTGGTAATGAACACAGTGGAGTTTGAATGCTCGTATTGGTAAGGCAGAAGCAACCACAGAATATAACATTTAACTAAAAGAGGAATGATGTGTTAAAAAGTAAAAATACTGTTGCAACCTTTAAGCTAGATTTGAGGTATGATCAACAACCATTTGTCCTTCCTTTCCATTTTGCAATCCTCTGTGCATATTCATTTGTCACAGTTTACTCCAGAAACCCTTCCCGGTGCTACTCTTTTCATTTATCCTGGCTGTGAACTGGCACAAAAAAGACACTGGATTGTGGTTAAGAAGTAAGCTACAAAAATGAGACAATCTTCACAATCCTACAAAAAACAAAACAAATGATCAAATCTTGAGAATTCTTGAGACACACATAATGAGCAGACTGCATGCATAACAACTTGCAGAATCAGATTTTCAAGACATCTGCAACAAAAACTTATTTAATGCAACTGATGAATGAACAGCACCAAAAAGGCACAAAATGAGTCTAACATCTTGACCAGTAAAGCAATGGATTCCCGTAAAAGCCCAGACGGAGATGACACAGAAATGGGAATGAGGGAGGGGTGGGTTACCTGACAACGCAGCCCTGGTCTTCCCCCTGTGAGGAGCTCCAGACACACAGAGGCCGTAGAGCTCCGAGTCACAGCGGATATGACTGTTGGAGTGGGTGTGCGGCGAGAGAGACAAGCCCAGTGAGGAGGGAAGGGGGTGAGGCGAAAACTGCGATGAAGAAAGAGCCATGCACACAGGAATGTTTCCAGTGAAAGGGATGCAAAGAGGAGGTGGTATTTTCCAAAGAGGAACTTGGCTCTCGACACAGTGTAATTGGTGCGTGGCTACAACAAGTGCGACT